CAGGGTCGGTGAGGGTCACCTCCTGCTCGTCAGCATTAAAGGCCTTTCCCCCTTCCCGCGGCTGTTAGGTGTGAGTGCGTCAGAAATAAAAATAAAAGAGGAGAAATGCACCTCCAGCGTCGTTGTGGTCGTGTGAAATACCCAGGTTGGTTTCCCTGCCCCAGGGAAAGGTGTTTAGTTCTGTAAGCGTGGGAAAAGCCTAGTGTGGAGAAGTTTTGTGAGAGACTGAACACTCTGGTGCTGCTCTGAGATGATACTGTCCCTGTGTGCTGCTAACCCACAGCTCTCTTATAAATCCTTTCCGCTTGCTCAAATCTCAGTGAAAAACACACAAATATTTATTTTTCTTTCCTAATTTCCCCCCTTCTGTTCCTTTTTTTCCCAAGGCTCTTTAGAATGACCCATGTGGCATAATATTTGGGGTTTTTTACTGAAAATCCTGTGCTTTGCTTTCCATGAGGTATTGAATGCAGCTGCAGGACCTCATTGAGCATAAAATATCTGTGGGATTTACTCAGTCTTGTTTTCTTTTCGTGCCTCTGTTGTGTTGTAGCAACATAAGAAAACAAACTCAGCTTGAAATTGTTATCCTAAACATAAAACCTGTGAAAACTACAACCTGAGACCCAAAGTGTGAACCTCTCCCAGAGATTTACAGAGATACCAGTGTGAAATTCAACTGGGCTTAGTAAAATTGTATGAAATAAAGGATTTGAAGGGACTTCATCACTGTTTCTTGTCCATGTCAATCACTGTCAGTCTGGACATTTTTGAATCAGAATAAGCACAGATTTCTTAGTTCTGTTGTTTTTAAAGCTGCTGATAATTGTGGTGCCAAATCCAGATGTCTTAGTTTAAATAAGGACTGGGAAGCGATGATTTCTAACCAAACTTGCAATAAAAACACAAATGTTACACTTCGTGCGAAGCATCAGAACTTGCCTGTGAAACAGTTTATGAACAGAATTGAGTGTTTTAATTATTCTAATGAAGTGGATGAAGTAGAAAAGGACATTAGGCCACTCCAATCAATTGGTGAGGATATAAAATTTTATGGAAGAGCCAGATTTTATGGAATTTACTTGCAAATACTAAAGTTATGACTGCTCTTTAGGAAGAGATGTCTATCCCCAGCACTTCTGCAGCTAAGCTAAATCAGAACATTAGATCTGCTTGTTTTAATTACAGAACTCTTGGCTGGGCTGAGATGTCTTGTTAGAAAATCCATGGAGTTGTGTTTCTCAGGGTTAGTCCTTCCTCTGCCTGCAAAGCCTCAACCTGGAACCAGCAGAATCCTCACTGCTGTGGGTGGGAGCTAAGCAAGGCCCTGGGTAACCTCAGAGACTGAACGTGAAAATGAGCTCTAAAGAGGCAATAAGGAAATTCATTCAACCCTTTTTTCTTCACCTTTTTCCTCCCTCCCTTCCTCTCCATGTAGGAGGAAGGTGCAGGGATTGATGTGGGACATGCTGCTTCTGTGGCTTTGGTTGTTGGGTCTGTGTTTTCCACATTCTGCACTGCTCTGGGCTGGGCTGGAGCTTGTGGGAATGTGCTGGAGACATTTGGCTTGTCCTGCAGAGACACTAATTTAAGTTACCTCTGGTTTCAGAGCTCCTTGTGTGGTTTTTATGCCAACACTGACTCAACCATTACCAACCCCAAACTGCTCAAGCCAAACCTTTTGGGTATCCATATGTGGCACAAATAAGCCAAAGCAAATAGGTTGGGTTTTTTTTTTTTTAAAATTGGTTATTTTGTGACCATCCTTACTTCAGTTTTTCAGCATCTAAAATAAAATTGGTAATTTTGTGACCATCTTTACTTCAGTTTTTCAGCATCTAAAATAGATTGTAAGTCTCAGTTTTGTCGGTGAAAGAAAATAAATAAGCATTTGTTTACTGTTTAATCTCCTTGTTGTAACATTGCTGTGAAAACTCAAGGCATCATGACTGCAGAGCTGTGTTCAATTTTCCTCTTTGTCCTATTTATTTTCAGAACATGCTTGAAGAGCTATTAATTCATCAGCCAGATGATCCCATTGAGTTCATGATAAACCATTTAAAGCAGAGCAACCATGATGGTAAGTGAAAACCGAGGCACCATAAATAGTTCAATTCCTTGTTTGTAAACAGCTGTTGGAAACTGCTGCAGTTGGCAGATGATGGATAAAACTTTCAGCCTGTGTCTTGATGGGGGGGGGGAAACAAACAAAAAAGGTGAGCATTTTGGGATAGTTATAGGCAAGATGCTTTTAATTTCTTTTTTTAGTGGGTAATCTAATAAAAAATGCACTTTAACAGTTATAACAATGAAACCCTCTAAGGGAATAACAAAGAGTTCTAGTGTATCAATTATTAATGTGTTCTGTGCCCCATCTGATATTTCCTGTTGTCTTTAAGCTCACTAATTACTCCTTTTGTCAGGTGTAAATTTGGTTTCCTATTCTACCTGGGCTGGCAGATTCTCTGTGTTTTGATTAGTTCGTTACTCTCTGCTGTTAATGAGTTCCACTGCTCAGTGGCATCTCAGCTGAGGGAACAGTGAGTGTGTCTCCTCCTCTGTGTAACAGCCCCTGGTAAATTGAAGGGGAAGTCTGTATTCTGCACAATAAAAGCATGTACCCTCAATCAAATGATTTGATTTACAAACTGTTCACCCTTAGGCAGATTATATTTGGCTATGCACAACTGAACTCTAATTTTTGTTCTGCGTGAGCTGTCAGGGAGAGCTGGTGTCATGGTGCTTTGATGTTTCTTTAAAACCAGAGTAAACCATTATGAAAGTTCTGCTGCAGCATCAATGAAATCATTATCACTGGAGGTGCTGGGAGCCCTTAGTGGTGGCTGATGAGGTGGATGTTGATTGAAATGCTGCTAAATACACCAAAAAAAAAGATCAAATCCTGCAAATTGTGCCCAGCCTTGCCTGATGCAGGCAGCATGAGGAATCAATCTGCTTTGGAGACACGTGGGAAATCTGTGGGAGAATTTCAGCAGAACACTGGTGAAATGTCTTCACATTGAGCTCACATTTGTCCTCAAGCCCCTCAGTATTATTCCAACAGAACTAGGCAGGTTTCCATTCCATGACTTCACTACTTCCAGGCTAAAGATAGAACTACAGCAGTTGTTTGTCAGAGGGAAAAATCCTGTCTGCTTTTGGTCTGGGAAAACCTATTAAGGAAGGAAAGGAACTTCAATTTAAATTAAAGCCCTAAGTGTTGTTTTAAGAATAAATTCTGTGGGAAATAATGTAAGAGAAATGTGTAGCAGACTAAGTGTTATTTTAAGAATCAATTCTGTGGAAAATAATGTAAGAGAAATGTGTAGCAGAGTTGATTTTACTTTTTGATCATGGTGGAAGGTGCTGACTATTTAGAAGGGAAAAAACCCCTTATTAGAGCCATCAGGAAAGTGATGAATTTTCATGATCTTGCCTTGCCAGGCAGTTTTAGCCCTAGAGAAAATTTCAAACAGAGATGTATTTTAAGAATCAATTCTGTGGAAAATAATGTAAGAGAAATGTGTAGCAGAGTTGATTTTACTTTTTGATCATGGTGGAAGGTGCTGACTATTTAGAAGGGAAAAAACCCCTTATTAGAGCCATCAGGAAAGTGATGAATTTTCATGATCTTGCCTTGCCAGGCAGTTTTAGCCCTAGAGAAAATTTCAAACAGAGATGTGTGGAGAAGCAGCATTGCAGCTATCCCAGGTGTGAAGTTAGGAAACCTTTGCAATTACTAATAGGATCTAAAGTACTTTTAAAAATATAAACAACTCTAATGATGATTATAGCTTACAACTGCCTCCAAAATCTCAGAGGTTGAATGTGTGGCAAAGGGTTTGTGCTATTGTTCCTTCATGTGTTCCTTCTAAAAACCTGAAAGAACCACATGAAGACTGATAATTCTTTCATATTCAAAGACAGGAGTTTTTTACATGATCTCATGGTTTGTGCTAATGAAAAATGCTTTCAGGTTCCAAGTGGCATTTCTGGGAGTTCTCCCTTTACGGTCA